CCCCCACCACTCTGTGATTCTGTGATTCAATAAAGGTTAAATGTTGCAGGTTTCCAGAAAAAAATATAAAAATAAATTATTGCCTGCAAGCCTTGATCCTTGACAAAACAGAGCAGGCTCAGCAAGGTTCTTTGCACACCCTTCATCCATCAAAGCATCAACAAGGCTTTTGATATCCTTGAAGGAAAGCACGTGCCAGCTTGAGGCTGTGGGGACAGCATCAGAGCTAGGAGCAACTCAGCCAGGACATGCCAGGCCAGCTGCAATGGAGGTTTAGAAACACAGAGACACCCACATTTCAATGTCTGTCTGGAGATTAATCCCACCCCAGCTGAGTGCAATGAATATTAGTAGCCCAGGAGACACAACTGTGGCCTAGATATGGACCATATGTGGTTTTTAAGAAGATAGTCTCCCAAAAGAGATATAATCCTGCTGCTAAGGAGCGTGTTGTTACAGAGATGCTGGGCTCTGGATGGCAGGATTGATGCTGAGCAGTGCTGAGAGATGGAGGAGACCTTTGTGCATCCTACCAGGATGCTCCAGTAAGTTTCTGCTGGAAAATCAAGTTACCACTGATACCCTGATACATCAGAAAGCCCATGTAGTGAGTTTTCACTGAGATAACTTGTGTTTCAGACTTGCCATCTTGTTTCATCTACTGTCACATCCCAAAATGGGAAAGAAGGAAGCTGAGTGCTTGGCAAAGAGAGTCTACCAGAAGTTAAAGACTGAGCTAATCTCCTTATTTTTTGTTGTTTCCTCAAAAAAAACCCAAACCCAACAAAAAACTCAATTCTTTCATGACATCCATCTGCAAGCCCCAGGTTGTGATTCAGCAGGGATGTCTCCACACAAGCACATCACCACAGTCACCAAGTCATACAACTGAGTGTTAAAGACCTAAAACCACCCAGCACCCGTTGAGGAAACCCCTGACACTCCACTTCCAGCATCCCCACATCAGGAGCTTGGGGTACTCACGGCAGCACAGCCCCCTGGGATGACACCAGCGATGAGGACGGGGGAGTCTCCTCTCAGTGTGAACCCAAAGCCATTTTCTCCTCTCATCAGGTGGATTCTCCGTGCCGGGTACCACTTGTTTTTGGCAGAGAAAACTGAGAGGGGTCCCTGGGGTAAGGCAGAAACACAAAAAGCACCTTTCGGTGCAAGAACATCTCCCCAGGGATGTGCAACCTGGCAAAACACCCACTGATGAAGAGGAGGCAGAGCAAGAAAGTCTGTCTTTGGCATTTAAGGACACAATTTTGAGCCTGCCTGGTGTTTTACCCTGTCTGCACACCCAAAAATGCAGATTTCTGCACTATAAAGCTAGAGGTGCTTAAAAGTCCACGTCAGACATTGGGTCTGTGAGTAGTAGCACAGTTTTGTGCTACTGGTCCAACCCTCTGCCCAGAGCTTAGGTTTGGACATCCTCCCAGCTCCTGCCAGGCAGGAGAAGGAGGTCTTGGCATGGTCAGCAAGCTGCCATCAGTTTAGATACTACAATCCTGGAGTAAATGAGACAGAAAGCTCTGGTGGACAGAGCTGACTCCTTAATTCCTCCCTTTAGGAAATTAAACCCATCGCCCAAGGAGGGATGATGGGGGTTGAAGGTTTTTCACCACAGCCTGGCTTTGGTGGATGCAGCTCAGCTGGAGTGGTCCAGCAGCAGGGTGTGAGGTGGTGGGACAGGTCACCTCTTCAGGGTCAGTTTCCCCCCAAAATCTTTCCTATTTTTCCTGACTTTTTCCTACTTTCCTGTTCCTGCCTACCCTGGAGCTGTTCAAAAGCAGTGATACCCAACCTCTCCCCGGGGTGCTACACAGCCCTTGGGGTGCCTGGGGGGACAAGGGACAGTATAGCCAGGTCTCACAGAAGCCCCAAAGCTCAGTCCTGCTCCCCAAGACCCTATAAGCCTAAAGAGGGTAGAGAGAAAGATCCAGTGGGATTTTTCTGGTGCCTCCCAGCTGACATCATCCTTCCTGCTCTGCTCCCCCAAAAAGCTTCCACTAAAGGGTCCCTTTGGTCCTTCTCAGGTAAAGCCCACCCAAAATGCCTGTGCCCACTCTCCCGTGTACCCAAGGACCTTCATGACATGTTTAGGTCTTGCAGAGACGGATCTGTGCCCTCCCACCCCTCCTCTTGCATGGGTCTCTGCCTGTGAGGAGGTGGCTCATCCTCTTTGGAAAGCTGCCCGTGAGAGAAGCGTCTGTGCTGGGAGAGGGAGAAGAGGATGTGGGGAGGAAGGAAATCAGGCAAGCAGAACATGCAGGGAGGAGAAGGAGGAGGAGGAGGTGATATCTGCTCCCTTGGGGCAACTTCCATCCCATAGCTGTACATACCAGCCTGTGGAAGAGGTCGGTCACCTTCACCTGGGAGAAGTTGGGGGATTTTATCTCTGGTTTCTGGTGGGTTTTGGCTAGTGGTAGAAAGAGAGAAGCACACACACCGGGGTCAGGTAGTTGTGGCAGCTGCTGCCTCTACATGGTGCTCCCCAAGGAGGGATAGTGTGACCCAGAAGAGCTGGAACCTGCTCAGGCAGCTGCCAGACACACAGCTCAGAGCCCCCACACCCACCCGAGATGTTCCACCACCATGCAGGGAGCTCAGGTTCACAGTGACATGCCACAAATTCACCGTGGAGTTTGCCCACCCCATGCAACCTGCCACAAATCCTCTCCCCAGCTGCATACTCAAAAAAAAACCCCACTTACGGTGAATGTCTGGGGCATCTCCTGTTTCAAAGAAGTCCTCCTCATGGTCAATTTCTGAGTATTTGCTCAGCGAGCGTTTGTGGGCGAAGGAGAGGACCTCCTGGAGGATATCCATCTTCCTCAGGATCTTACACAAGCCGTGGATTCTCATGGCTTCCTCATGCTTCATGATGGCTTTCTTCAGATGAGCTTTGCCTGCAAAGGAACAGAGAAGATCACAAGCTCGATCAGAACGGCTCCGCCGCCGCCGGTTCCCTCTCTGCTCGCTCGGCTGCCCACGGATAACAGCAGCCACCGAGGCTGTGTCACCCGACGTGACTCAGGGACAGCCCAGTCACGTTCACAGCCTGCCAGGAGTTCAACGTGTCCTAAATGGAGTAGGTCCCAGCCGTCAGCTCGAGTCTTCGATGTAGGGCTTGGGAAGGGACCTTGAAGGGTGACCTACTTCGCTCCCAAAGTGTCGGAGCTGGCAGATGTTCCCAAAAAACCGCCGGCAAAGGAGCTGCCACCGTGTTGCGCCGCCCCCGAAGTCCCTCGTAATGCTTAACCTCAATCTTTCTGCAAATTAACTTCTCTCCATCGTCTTGCAACCCCTAGGGGGGAGGACATGGAGGACAATCAAGCCCTGTCCTCCTGATGACAGCCTTTTAGCTTCAAGAAGATGCAACACGTCTCCTTCTTTTCTAGGCTAAGCAAAACCTTCTCCCTACCCGGCAGGTCCTGCTCTCCACCTTCTTCAGCATCTCCTCTTGCTTTGCTCCTCTCCAACTCACCTTCAACGTGTTTCCATCCTCGGGAAAACGGAGCAGATGAAAAATGGCCAGAAGAGATGAAATCATGATAACCCACAGATATCAAGGCAAACATCTCCTTTGCAAGTGACTGCAACCAAGATACCCGTATCCAACACTAAACTACCAAAAAAGCTCTCTCTCTCCACCTATATATATATATATGTATCATAGGAACACGTGTGCCTGTAGCATTTCCAGTTTTAAGACACACGGTGGCAACATAACCCAAGGAGATGATCAGGGTTTGCTCCAGACTTACGAGGACCACAGCCAGTGTGGCCTGAAGACCTTCGCTTTTCCCTGCGAGAAGTCACAATCAAGGAAATATTTTGAGGTTGGATGGAAAACAGGGATGAAGAGACTCTCCAAAATGATTGTATCAAATGCAATCAATCATATGGTATCAAAGCACCCACTGTCAGCAAGAAAGATCTCCAGAGAGATCTTATAGCAGCCTTCCAATACCTGAAGGGGCTACAAGAAAGCTGGGGAAGGACTTTTCATAAGGGCAGTTAGTGACAAAACAAGGGGAAATGGGTTTAAGCTGAAGGAGGGGAGGTTTAGATTAGATATTAGGAAGAAATTCTTCACTGTGAGGGTGGTCAGACACTGGAACAGGTTGCCCAAGGAAGTTGTAGAAGTCCCCTCCCTGGAAGTGTTGAAGGCCAGGCTGGATGAGGCTTTGAGCAACCTGGTCTAGTGGAAGGTGTCCCTGCTGCTGGCAGGGGGGTTGGAACTGGATGATCTTGAAGGTCCCTTCCAATCCAAACCATTCTATGATAAGAAACTAGATTTTAATGACTTATCAATGAATTTTGCTATTTCCAAGAGATTACGGGGAAGAGAGGTTGGGCATGGAAGTTGTGCAAAGTTTTGGCTCCACTCTATTGAAGATGGTAGAATATATCATCTCTGATAAAAGATAATGTTATAAAACTAGGAGACAAGGGAAGGAGAAAAAATACCCTGCCAGGGAGATGGTTTTTAATGCTGCAAGTTTCTTCCTTTCCTGTAAACTAAAACCAGAGCTGAGGCTGTCACCTGCACGTTCATTTTTCATCAGTAAATGCTGAATAGAGCCCGTTCCCCTCGAGAAGAACAGGCAGAGCTGGAAGCTGGGCTGATGCAAATTGGGAAACCAGGTGACAGTAGCTGAGGGCATTGGGATGGTGTTACCATAACACTCTAGTTTTGGGGTTCATATAAGGAGTCTCCCCATTCACATCCTTCACTTCCCATCCCCAGCAGTGAAATCCAGTCAAGCAGCCAGGAGGACTTTGCTGAGGCTGGTGACATGATAAAATCATTCCTGGTGGGACTTGTCTCCTTTCACACATGTGCAATGAGGGGAAAGAGAGCACCAAGAGGCAGCTCGTGGGGGAGGCAAACAGGAGATGACACCCCAAAATCAGGGTGCTGAGTTTGCTCTTGTTGCAAGCTTGTTGGGTAGAAGCTGCCAAAACATGACTTCAGCTGAATAAGCAACGCTCTGTTTTTCCCCTGAAGCTGAAAATCCACATGGGAGGAAGTTCTCATCTCCCAAGCCTTTCCATGCAGCTAAAAAAGCCACCCCCCTGGCATCTGCTGTGTCTTTTTGTAATCAAGCCAAATCAGCAGCAAGTCCAAGCCAAGGAACTTCCCAGGATCTTTGTGTCCCTACAGATTTCTCCATGCTGTGTTGGGTGATGTTACCTGGCTCAGGACACCTCAATGCCTGAGGTTTTACTGTCAAACTTGGCTTGACAGGTTGGTACAAGCACCATGAGCTGGTCCTCAACACCCTAATAGGGATCTGTGATGCTTTCCTGCCTTCCCAGGAGAAGCTCTTTTCAAAGAAAGCACCCAAAAAGTTGTCTTTATATGGAAAGACACCCTACAACAGCTCATCACACACCTTTGAGGAGACCATGGCTCCATGGGTAGGGTTATGATGGGGCTCACTGCCCATCCATCGAGGTTTCGTTGCTGGAATTGGGGGCTTTGCCCCCACTAATGTGCTTACCCAGCTTCCTCCTTTCCTCAGGGTCCTGCAGCACGACACGGAGTGATGGTCCCTCTGGCATGGTGACATGGAACTGGATAAAAGCCTTCTCCTGCTCTGGCAGTTCAGCATCAGATGCAGCTGTGTGAAACAAACGGGTGGGGATGGGCTTACAGAGAAGTCAAGGCACTGCTTGGCCACCCGGATGCCCACGGTGGTGTGGAAAAGGTGATCAGGAAGCCACATCCATGCTCATGTGGCCCAAATAACTTCAGCAGCAGCTTCCTCTCACCCAGCCACAGCCTGCAACGACCACCAAGGTGTCACTGATGGAGAGGGATGAGTTACCACATTCAAGGCTGCACCAGGCTTTGTAGCCAAGTGCAGGATTTGTCCCCTGCACAGCACAAGTATCCTGCTCTTTTTTCTCCTTCCCTCCTTTGTTCTGGAAGCAGGATTGGAAATGTAGAGCCCTGGGTTTTCCCATCTGGAGGTTAGTGACATGGAGCCAAGTCAGACAATAGCTAAAGCACAAGAGCTGGGTAATTTGGGAGTTGAGGTCTCCTTGTTGTGCCTGGGACCCCTGCACAAGCAGAGAGCTTGTGGTGCAACCAAGGGGGTCCTTCAATAGAAAAACTGAGATGGATACAACTTGCACAGGTTCTCCAAGCACCGTGCTGGGCTTTGGACACGTGATTTTGACACCATTTCCAGCCAAAGCTGTTCCTAATTCCCTTTGGCTCACAAGGAGCTCAGGGTTGCATGGCAGCCTCCTCTCCTGGACACAAGGTGAAATAGAAAGCAACCCAGATGGTTCCAGGGAGCGTTGTAGACTTGCTGGTCAACATGGAAGGAGATCCCAAAGGCTGGTGAGCAGTCCCAGCATAGGCACCCAGCAAGCTGGGAACCAGCAGCTCCAGGGCTGGCTCTCCTTGTGCCAACCCTCTCCATCCCAGCATCCCCAGGGGATTAAACTGCAGCATTAGGAGTTTATTGCCAGCTGGTTATGGAAGTAAAAGTTTTGTCATTCTGGACAAGAGGGTCAGGGTACACTTGGAGAGGCAGCGAGTGGTCATGTGACATCTCAACAGCATGCTCTAGATGGAGCAAAAAAAAAACCCCAACCAGACCCAAATTAAGGATCTCCTGCAAATTTGTGTTTCCACCCAGCACCTAAAGTTACCAGGACAGGCAAACAGCCTCCAAATCTCAGGGGAGAAGCTTGCCTTGTCCCTTGCAACCCCAAGCAAACCCAGCCCCATCACCATCCAATGATGCGAGGGCTGGAGCAGCTCTGCTGTGAGGACAGGCTGAGAGAGTTGGGGCTGTTGAGCCTGGAGAACAGGAGGGTCCAGGGAGACCTTCTAGAGAGCTCCCAGTACCTGAAGGGGCTCCAGGAAGGCTGGGGAGGGACTTTGGCCAAGGATAGGGAGTGAGAGAACAAGTGGTGATGGCTTGAAACTGGCAGAGGGGAGATGGAGCTGAGATGTGAGGAAGAAATTCTTTGCTGTGAGGGTGGTGAGACACTGGCTCAGGTTGCCCAGAGAAGCTGTGGCTGCTCCTCCATGGAAGTGTTGAAGGCCAGGCTGGATGAGGCTTTGAGCAACCTGGTCTAGTGGAAGGTGTCCCTGCTGATGGCAGGGGGGTTGGAACTGGATGATCTTTAAGGTCCCTTCCAACCCAAACCATTTTATGGTTCTATGATCCTCTGCTGTTTCTGTCTCTAAGCTGCTCCAGCCCCATGGTAGCTCGCTCTCTCCTGCCTCTGCCCCAGCAGCTCTCCTTGCTCAATCCTGCTTCTGCAACGCCCACACGGCACAGGCCCGGCAGCAAGATTTTAGGCAGGTTCTGGAGTGGGGGAGGATGCTGGGACAGTCTGGCAGCCATCGTCATCACTGGCACAGCACTGCTTTTGGCAGCCATCCCTCAGGAAGTCCCCCAGCCTGTCCTCAGCCATCCCACCAAGTGATGGGTCAGCATCACAGGTCACAGCATGCATCGGCTGCCCACCCTTAGATCCTCTGCCTGACCCAAAATTGCTTGTAACGGGTGTTGGTGATGGCACAGATGGAGATCATGGGTCACATCCTACGTCTGTGCTCCAGCTGGCTCCATGGAGCCACGTCAGCTCAGTTCCAGCACAACCACAAGTACCCTGCTGCCAGCAACCCACCACCCAGAGCAGCTGGCCATGTGGCTGGCAATTAAATTTCAGTAGCCCAGACCACTTTTTCAAGGGATATCCTGGGTTTTTTTGCTTTTATTTTTATTTTTTGAAGCCCACATCTGGCCCATCACATGGACATCTGTGGTGCATCTGGAGCACGCCGAGGTGAGGACACCAGCACACACATGGTCAGTAGGTAGCTGACTCCCTGTTTACCCACCCAGACCTAAAGGGGAGAGCAGGTGACAACCCTACAGCATCTTGGAAGGACTTTGCAAGCGCTGTGTAAACCAGAAATATGGAGGAAATCTGCCCTGAGCATGAACTGCTGAGTCAATGAAGGAGATCAACAGCTCAGAGCATCTCAAAAACTTGAGGTTTTGTACCCATCTACCCTGTAGATCTTTTTTTCTGCATTCTCTCCCAAACATCAGGCTACCACGTGGAGCCAGCCCTTGGCTGAGCAAGCAACTTGCCTCCAAGTTGTAACACTCACCGGGGCAGTCGCAGAGAGCAATGGCAGCGAAGTAGTGGGAGAGGGCTTTGAAATGCTCTGACTTGACGTGGACCATGGTGGTCCAAGAGAAGGGAACGTAATCCTTCACATGAGCCTGGGTCATCGTCTGGTGCACCAGTGAGTAGACGTCTTCTACCTGTGGGACATCAAGAGACAAGCTGCTAAGTCATGGGTTGAGATATAGGAGACAGTGATAATAGGTTGTCCTCTCCTGGGGAGTTCTGCAGATCACAGAAGGAGCCTCCCCAGAGGTGACAGCCCACCAAATCCTCTCCTCCCCAAGGTATTCACCCTTGCTGCCTCCTGGGCGAGCTGCAGCCGGGCAAGGAAGTCATGTTGGGCACACAGGAAGGTCATCTTCTCAAAGACGCACTCCTGGACCTGGGCGACCATCAGCCGCACCAGCATATTCAAGGAGGCAGCGCTCATATCCAGGCTGGGAGCATTGGAGAAGTTTTCCTTCAAGTAGTTAAAGGCACCTGCACAAGGAAGAAGCTTCGGGTAGCAGCTGGACCTGCAAGCAGGAGGGTCAGGCTTTCAAAGCATGAAGGTTTCCTCATCAGTGGTGCAGGAGAAGAGCCAACCCAGCTCACACTTCAAATATCTCACCATAACCAGCCATGATATCCCAGGGGTCCCTCCCTTGCTACCTAAACCATCCTTGTGCCCACAACTTTCTTCTCCAAAGCCCTGGGTGATCACAGTCTCAAGGTCCCTTTTTTCCCCAGCTGCTCACAGATGGATCAGCATCTCTCTTCTCTCCAGCTGGGACATCCTTACTGCCATGGGGCAAAGGAGAGCCCTCTGGGTGGCTGGTGGGTCATCCCAGCTCCTCTTCATAACCCACAGAAGCAGCGTGGTGCCAACTTACGCTTAGTTTGTGGTCCCTTGGAGATGTCATGTCCCCATCTCTCTTTGCACAACTGTTCCCTCCCCTTCTTGCCCTCACAAGGACTATTCCCACCCTGTGTAAATGCTGCCTGCATGCTCCTGTGGAGCCAAGGAAGGAGGGAAACCCACGTACCAGCTGCCTTCTGAAAGGCATCAATGGCTTGGTTGAGCCCTGGCAGGGATGCACGGTCCTGCCGCGCCCCGATCTGGGTGTGCAGGGCTCCGATGTTGAAGAGCACGCTGCCTTTCTCAAAGGCCAACGATCGCTGGTGGGATGGGACCCCCGTCAGAGAATCATACCTGGGGAAGGGAAGAGTCAATGTCTGTCCATCCCTGCATCCTTGCCCAACAATGCAGAAGAAGCCTGGAGGGTTTTCAGCTCTCTGTGTGGGCTTGTAGCCACCGTTCCCATCATAGCTCATCCCCATGGGGTGCATATTTTCCCCTCCCTCCCCTAATCAACTCACCCAGGGCAACAGCAAACCCAGAGCAAGAGGAAAACTCAGCTGCCCACATCCTCCAGCCCCAGCTTTGCTGCTGAGGCAGAAGTCCCATCATGGAGGCTTGGTCCTGACTCCCTCCCCACTCACAATGGCCCAGGTGGGATGGGGAAAGTTGTACCAACCAGTGGAAGAAGACACCCAGGGTTTTGGTGGGAGGGAAGAAACGGTTGTCGAAGAAGTAGAGCTGGTTGTAATATTCCATCAAGAGCTCGAGGCCGGCTTCATTGCGGCTTGGTGTGCGCATCGCCTGCAGGGATGGGAGAGGAGATATGTGGGTGGGAAGAAAGGGGGGAAAATGGGAGAGGAAATGATGGATTTATGGAGCTGCACATGCTGGCAGAAGAAACTCCCTGGACCAAAAGATTGGTGAAGGGTTTAGATGGGAAACCGTATGAGGAGAGGCTGAAGTCAC